AGGCAAAACAGCGGCCCCAGCGAACGAGACCCCGCTGAAAAGGATACGCTAGAGCAGCCCGAGGCCTCTAATGCCAGCCAATCCACGTCAACCACGCAACACATAGTCGAGAATTCGGCCCAGTCAGTCGCTGAGTTTCCCGGTTCTACTTTCTTTCTCTTGCTTCCTTTTCCCTCCCGCTTCCGCCCTTTCTCCTCCTTTGCCAACGCATCAGATTCCCGTCCCAACCGACTTTTCCATTTGCCTTCGCCTTCGCCTTCTTCGCCTCTGCGCCTTTTCTGCCAGCTTCGGCGTTGCGAGCTGTGCCGGCTTTCCTGCCTACTACGACGTCTGTCCGTCCGCTCGCCCGCCCGTCCGTCCATCCATTGGCCTGTCAGATAGTTCAAATGCAACCCTGTTCTGTTTATGTCTTGTGTCAGGTCTTCTGTCTATCCAATCGCTCCTCTCGCGCATCTTCTGCTGCTGTCGGGTTGGCCGTCATCTAAATTATTGACCACCAATTGTTTATATTTCCTCACCACATTGGCTGGCGCAGATGCGAGATGACTGACTGATGGATGATTAACACGAACACGGATCACCGCCGCAGGGTAAGAAAGGCACGGTTAGGTAGCGTAAGGGCCGAGTCGATGACGATTTGCCTACTCTGCCCGAGTGACAGCTTCTTTCAGATTCGTGACTGTTTTTCTTCCCGTGGCGACTATTCTGAGCTGTCGCATTTCTTCTTTCAGCCTTGAACAGATCTCCGTCGACGCAAGTCAGATGCAACCTACCATGGCGGTGGTCCCTCCACTCTCCCCAGTAGTTGACGGGTCCTCGACTTGAGCACTAATGCGAGTTCGTTGGATGTATTCTCCCTCATGCCCCCCTCATGCCCCCCTTATGCCCCCCTGCCCCTCTGGAGTCTTAGGTGGATAACGTCAAACAACCCAGCACTTGTTTTAGACGGGATTCCCTACCCTTCCCTCCTGCACGTATCTCTCGGTACCCCCGTGTTCATGGATAGCATTTTCCAAACTAGTATGAATGCTCCCTCGAGAGGTTGAGTTGACCATGGTTATGATGCACCACGTCCTGCGGGGGCCTCCCGTGGAGATCGCACTACCCCAGTTGCCCACCGATCTGGCTACGTCGCTGACTTAAACAAGCATCCTCATCTCAGAGTAGACCGCTGTACCCTCATAGAACTCACCCTGTGATGAATGGCCAAGTAGATGACCGTCGTCGTTTTAAGCCTGTTGAACCCTCAGGCCGGACTGTCTGGGACTAGGAAGTAGCCAGCCCAATGGGAGTACTATCTTGAGAAGAATAGCTACCTTGCATAGTAAATATGGACAGAGCTTTCACATGCTTATTAAATGATAGGACGGCAGTAGTTGGGTCTCCAAAGATCGGCCGGAGCCAGTCACCAAAAGTAATCCACGTTATATGGGCTCGACGATACCCCATAAATACTCATCACCATGTTCATTCCTTGAAGCAATCATTTGGATGAACTTATCTGGCTAGCCATCAAGTTGGCCTCTAAGTCAATGGACCGGCCGTCTTTGAGTGCCACTCATGGAATCCTTGATACCATCGAGCACTCGATACGTGGGTGCCCAGTATGCAAAACCATAAACCGAGTAAGTTGGTGGTACAAGGTCAGGAATGTACAGACACTATCCCGTCGTTCCGATGTAACTGTATTTCGGGTACACATATGTACGCTTTCCATACAAAGCTGAGAAAAGGTAAGCTCGCTTATCACAAGTTGAAGCTTTCCTGTCACGGCGACTGACTTCACTATACTTGAAGCCTTCCTGTCAGAAATAGTTCTGTATTAAGCCCAGATGCCCCAGGGTGATCAGTGCCGTGAGGTATTGTATTGGTGCGGTCGGTTTCTGTCCATGGGAATGCTCATATAGAAATGAAATATTAGATAAATATGCCAACGATGTATTCTATCAAACGTAAATGGCACTGGCATCGAAGCTACTTTACGAATCCCTCTTTGCAATAAGCCTCCATGACTAGATGTGAGTACAAATACATGGCCACTCAGGCATGAGCAACACCAAATTAGCACGGTACAAACATGACACCAACGTGTCCTAATATCATACTGCCTACTCAACAGCCATTACAGCGGTGGGGGGAGTCCTCGGACCTGGTGAGAACCTTGTTGGATCAACTAAACAAAGTCTTAATGACGCATATACACTACTCACTCGACTTCAAAACATTGTTGGCTGAGAGGGCTATATTATTTTCATCATCGTGCAACGAGGGGTATCGAACAAAGTCAAAAGTTCAGTGATGTTGGTTTGAATTCATGGTATAATATATGACTTCAGTGACCTCAATAGTATACCAATACCAGTGGATCAATAATCCGCAAGGACTATCAATGGTTTATGAAAAGTAAGCAAGATAAGAAATCATCCGTTGAAATATGCATTGGTACAGCATCGCCTTGCAGTATGAAGGAACCCGATCTAAAAGTCTGCGTTTTTTCTCGAGTTTCTCGGGTTTTGGTAACAAGACCGGCCCTCCATGTTTATAAGAAAAGAGGGTCCTTAAATATGATGCTGTGGTAATCACGCCTACTAATCGTCACATACGGAACGGGCTGTATCTTGACTTGATTATTGTACATATACGTCACATTATCTTCCTTTTCCTTTACTACGTTCCTGAAGCCTGTCTATCTGCTTGATGAACTTACGTTACACAGACCAAACCCCCTTTGTGAGAAATCATCATATCGGGGAATCCACCTTGACATTCTTATTATTGAACCAATTCTTTATTTCATCTGGTGTTAGTTGTGCCTTCATACCAAAAGACTGACCTTGAGGTGTCGTGGGTCCTTGAGAACAAACGAGTCATCACAACTTCGGGCTATTTCCACACTACTGCTAGTGACGTGCGACCTCTTGCAAGGGAAACCATTCAGAATTATGGGTTATAGGACTCCGACTTCAAAGAAAACTCGTCGAAGTTGTTCACCGGCCCTGTATATGTGCCAGGTCCAGCGAGTTTGCTCTAAGTAAACAACAAATTATGACTAGATACCGAACAGCGGAAATTCCAGGAGAGGGAAGAATTCATCATCGCGAGATCATGGACAAAGGCGAGGAGGCCATCGTGCTGGCTATAAATGAGGGGGTGCGAGACGACCTAGATAGCTCCTGATCAAGCCCTCAGCCATCAGTCCTCAATCTTCTACAGACACAAATTCATACCCAAAGCCAGAATACACGATTTTCAAAACCGACGACCAGAAAGAACCCCGCCACTAGACATGCCTGGAAACAGCTCTTCAAAGTCCGGCTCCTCGAAGTCTGGATCCTCGAAATCCGGCTCCTCAAAGTCAGGCAAAGGGTATGTGTCTTCTATACAGTGAAGAAACCTCCCATATCACTAGTCCTTGCCATGTCTAACATCATTTCTCTTGGTTAGTTGGGATGTCGTAACCGATCCGTACAAGTCTCAGCCACCGATGACGGACAAGAAGGATTCGGGATACAGATCGCAGTCGCCGATGAGATACGGGCCCTCGGATAAGAAGTCGAAAGGCAAAGACGCTGATGGATGTGCTGGTGGTTATAGCTGCTGAGAGTAGGCCTATTTCTGCCTCACAGGAATGCATAATCACGCAGGGGTGGTTAGGCAGGCAGGCGTGGTTATGGGGGAGCTAAGCTAAGCAAATGAGAAGAAACATATCTGGTTGTGCAGCAGACTGGTATTGCGGGAGAACCCGGGGGGGCTGGATTTCTGCCTGGTTGGGAAGCCGAATGGTTGTGTCGCTGGTTTTGTCTTGTACTATTGCTTATGATTCTCTGAAATTGGTCTCTAAGGCCGCTTACGCTCGTTAATCACTTTATAACAAACATTTTTTGGGCCTATCTGATCGTATGATATGAGTAACACGCTTTACGTTGAATGGGCGCTTCATGATAGGCTTGGTATAACGTATGATTTAGTATAAAATTGTCGAAGTAAAACATTTAAGCCAGGATTCCGCAACGAAATGGCGAGACGAAGAAGGCCAGGATACCTTACATGTGTAACGTTGAAAAGAATATTTTCTGAATCGTCGTTTGCTGCTTTTTTATCATAGGTGCTGCTTATTCAAGCATCTAAGGCGACCTATCGAAGCCTTCCCGCCACGAGGATGGGAGCATGGGAAACTAGGTGTCTTCGTATGCAGACTTGCAAGTTAACTAACTAGGTATCATTTAGAGATTGAATGATATATTGGTACCAGGTACACACTTAATCCTGAGCGGACATTGTGTCAGGGGAAGTGTTAACACAAAGTGATAGGGAGGAGAAGAGTGCTTCAGTATAGGTCATAGTTCAGAGGGAATGACTCCTCCATACCCCTTTTTTGGCAACCAGAGGAGGAAGACACCATCTATATATAGGCAACAAGATAGGTTGCCGCTAGGGTAGTGCTACCCTTACATGATCTCATGACAAATTGTGTGCTCTCGTAGTAGGATGCATATTGGATAGGGGTCATTAATGTATAGATTAAGGAGTAGTGATCTGTACTGGTATATGCTTCGCATTAATGTACTATTCATTACATGTTAATCAATTAAAGATTAAGAATATGCCAGTTGTGAAGTTAGTCCGGGTTGAACTGAATACCGTCTTCATTAGTAATTATACATAATTTCCCTAACACGTATAAAAGCAAAACCGCATGATACCTATTTACGTTACAAGCCTCACTCATTACGATCTGTCTTCCTTCTTAATAACCAAGCAGAATACTTGATGATTTCAACTGGAATGGGATCATGCGCTTACAACGTACAACATCTACATGTATAATGACAATAATAGTTATAGTCGCGCCGATATCCTCTCGACCTTGGCTAAAATCCCCTAGCTTCAAGCATCAGTGGTTCAAGAGGGGTAAAGGGGTCACCGATTAGTAGTAGATGGATATCCCGAACTCGGGCCGATGCTACTATATAGGCACCAATACGGCAGCGACCAATCAAGCATCAGTGGTTTAGTGGTAAAATCCATCGTTGCCATAGTAGAAAATCTTCTGTATTGATTTCGATGGGCCCCGCGTTCGATTCGCGGCTGATGCATTATTTTTGCGGTTTACTCGTTTTTTTCGTCTTCCTTTCCCTTATATTCCCCCATCCCGCGACCTATTATGATTTACTTATTTCCATAATGAGACCACAGGAGCAGTTTACTAACTCGATACTCTGCATTGAGTAGCAGTGCGAGATTCCTTCAATGATCACCGTTGAAGTCACCTGCTTTGAAGTCAACTGCTTTTCAACTTGGGATCTACGATTGAGGAAGCGCAACAGGGAGAAGCTGTCTGAGCTTGGCCACCTTCTCCATTAGGACGAAGCTATATCTGCATTCCTTGATACTTCTGGGGTTCAATGGCGGGTGTCATGGTAGTATTTACTACCCTCCTAGCGGAATAATCTCCAGGATCTGTCACTAGTAAACTGTTTTTCGTGGAATATCGTGTCACGAGCTCTAACTTGCCAGCGACATCGGGATCCTCCAATGGAACAGGTCCAGAACTCTCGATAATGCAGTATAGTCATCCGTACCGTCCAGACGCCAGAAACACGCCTCAAAGATGCGGGGTTCGCCACGAATACGGAGGAGTTGGAACATCGGAACCTGTCTGTCTGTCGCGCAGGAGAAAGGTGATCGGCCGGGTGATATACGGTCTTCGGAAAGTCGGCACTCACCGGGGAAGATACGGTACCAACCGTGGAAGTCAACCCGGTATTTCTCATATAATATACTTCGAAAGTCTTATAAGAAGTCAAGTTTGTTCCTTCTTACAAGTTGATGTTCTTAACTTATCATTTTAATATTCGAGGTTGTTATTCACGACATAGCCTTCATCACGATGCGGTCAACTCTCCTTTTAGCTGTACTTGGCGGCGCTATAGCCACTCGTCCTTTCTTGAATGAAGTAGATACTGGGTAAGTAAAGAAACATGACATGACTACATAATTTTCATTAGAGTAGGGGTCCAACAACGTGCTCACATCTAACAACATAGATTTGATGACTTCTTTGCCGATGTGCCTACTGGCGAACTAGTACCCCTTGACAAGCTTGTCGGGTTGCCAGATTTTGATGCAGCGGCACGACGATATCTACCGATCCAGAACTACACGTTTCTACGAAATGCGGCCGCTGGAGAATGGTCCTATCGGAATAACATGGAGGTGTTCAGCCGCTACCGGCTAAGACCACGGGTGATGGTAGATATCACGAACGTGAACTTGACTTTGCCGTGAGTTTGCCAACTGCGATGTGGTCACACTATTATATATACATGGCTAATGTTACTGTCGAATCAAGTACCACGATACTGGGTTATAACTTCTCGGCACCGTTCTTCATTTGCCCCTGTGGGGACCAAGCAAGGAGCAACCCGGAAGCGGAAAAGGGGCTGGTAGAAGCAGCCGGAGCCGAGGACATACTGTATATTGTGAGTTATTGCCATTGCCGGTAAGTTCTTTCGCGCAAGTCTACCTGGATGCTAACAGTACCCCTCTGTGAAGCCATCCGGGGGTGCAACGCTGTCGATGGAAGAGATCGCCAGTTACAAGAAAGATGGTCAGGTCCTGTTCCAGCAGGTTTATCTGGACACGAACGACACCAGGACCAAGGACATTTTTGACCGCGCAAAGGTTCTTGGATCCAAGGCCTTCGCTTTTACGGTGGATTCTGCCGCGGATGGAAACCGGCAGCGCGGCGCGCGCTACGGCGTACCCTCTGCGTATGTCGGGACCAAATACTCGTTCAATGTAGATTAGCTTAACCTTTACTAACACACTTGCTTCACTTCCAGCGATGCCGGGTGGACCTACATCACTGTAAGCACTCTAAGGGAAGCCCCTCACCCCTTTCCTGCTTCCCCTTTTCTCTTTCACGCTCTTTTCATGACGTGATAGCTGCCAGACTAACCAACCAAACCATTCCCATTAAAGTGGGATTTCTACCACCACCTCAAAACGCTCACCGACCTCCCCATTATCATCAAGGGCATCCAGACAGTCTCGGACGCGCAAGAAGCCGTGCGCCAGGGCGCGGACGGGATTTACCTTTCGAACCACGGGGGACGGCAGGTGGACGGGGCGCCGTCGAGCCTCGAGGTGGCGCTCGAGATCCGCCAAGAGGCGCCCGAGATCTTTTCGCAGGTTGACGTGCTCGCCGACGGCGGCGTCCGGTACGGCACCGACGTCATTAAGCTCCTGGCGCTCGGCGTCAAGGCGGTCGGGCTCGGCCGCCCCTTCATGTACGCTAATGTGTACGGTGCGGAGGGGGTCGCACGCGCGGTGCAGCTCTTGAAGCGCGAGCTTGCTATTGATGCAGGCAATGCGGGCATCGCTGACTTGAGGAAGGTTGATTCCCAATTTGTGAGTCTCTTTTATTTTCTCTCCCGTCCAATCATATAATGTTCTCTTGGAAACACAGGTTTGCGATATACCTCGAGCGCTTATGGCTTATTGACTCTTGTGGCATTATAGGTTAAGTGGGAGCCGGCATGGACAACATGAAAGACATGTAACCAAGCATATTAAGGAACATACGTATACCATGACTTGGTGACCACCGGCTTCTAGGAGATAGTCAACATGTGTTAGTATAACTCTGGCGTTGTCTGAGATCTTTAGCTCTGGTGTCGTGCCGGGCCACATTTGAATAGGGGCTCATAGGGGCAGATAGGGGTAGACGGGATGACCTAGACATTTTGTATGACAAGTGAATATGACCAAGCGATCAACTCCCACCGCCTGTTCCAAGTAAATATGGCTTATTAATAACATCATTTTCTTTTCGGAGGTTCGATTCAGGTTAGATGATGCATTGCGTGCGTAAATATACATGGATACAGCTTTTTGAGCATAAAAACAATGATGAAAATAATGAACCCCCAGAGATGGCTATAAGTCAAATCCAATCCAAGCCAATCCAATCCCCAATACGACGCGATCCGGAACTTGGTTGGATAAAGCGATGTACGACTGTCAAGAGGTAAAGACAGAATGTTAAGAGAAAAGTCGAATGTCAGCGAATGAATACATTCCATGAAGGTGTTGGTTGTGCGAGCGTTGGCAGGTATAACAGGAAATGGTATTCCTCATAAGAATCGGGAGATGACGTGTTCGTGAACGACGATAACGATGTTGACGATTCGATGACGATGATGAAGACATGATATAAACGACGAAAGAAGTCGTGATGTCGTCAAGCTTTTGAGGCCCATAGGCATTGATGTGTTTGATCCCCTTTCGATCCCCTTTCGACCCCCTTTGCTTTTCCACCCCTCGTTTGAACCGAGTTTCACTACATCAGTTCGGATTTACAGTCACCACAAATACCGCGGAACTCCTTAAAACCAGCAAGTTTTCCCCTCCCCTCTTTCCTGCTGCCCGCTAGCTAGCCCTGGAACGCCGGAGAACCCTTTTTTAAAAGCACATGTCGAAGCAAACCCACATCCATACTTTTTCATTTTCTTACTTTTCTTCATGTTTTTACATCGTCGATGGGGAAAGCGGGTGATTTCGAATAATATCGTTGCGGAGCCTCACTCGATGATGACAACTCCTGTCGCTGTTCTCGTTTCCTCTGGCCTAAACGCTCACACCACTCTTCGGCACTAACGATCGTGCCGTCCAAGACGCCGGAAACCTGGGCCATCATGTCGAGGCCCTCTCTGGCTAGCACCAATACACGCTGCGCACTTTCACGCGCCTCCTGTTCACGGCTTTCCTCGTCATGCCCTGATGTAACGGACTGTTGCTGTGGCTGTTGTTGGCTACCAAGGGCATTGGCAACCTGGAAGCGCTGGGGTAAACTTGCGAGGTGGCGCCTCACTAGCTCACGGGCATTTTCGGGTAATGCGCCACCAGCGTGTCGGCTCACAGTGTTGATGACATCTTGGAGCGTTTTCAAGACATCTGACTTGTAGACAGTGATCATTTGGGCGAGCCGGTTCCTCTCAGTGACTTCATCTGAGGGTGATGCGCCTTGCATGGGATGGTCCTCTCCACCAGCCTCCAATTGTTTCTTTTCGTACGTCTCCATTGTGGTCTTCAGCGAGGTAACAACAGTACCGATATGATCGTTCGCCCATTTGAGCCAGCTGAGGCAGTACTTGAGGCTGCGAAGACTTTCCTCCGTCATCGCAATACCCAGGCCAGATGTCGTCATCACAAGACGCGATGATGCTGTAGAACTATTATGACGCTCCTCTGACGCCCCGTTCTCAGCATATGGAGGTGACCGATTCTCGTCATAAGCCGGCAAGGTGTCAATGGTACTTGCGAACGAGGAACGGCGGGTCGTGTCAAGCGAGGCCCTTGGCGTGGGAACTCCCGACCCAGGTTCGAATGACTTGTCGCCGATACTGGTGCCATTGCTTCCATTGTCTACTTTTCTTCGCTTGTTCGAGGTCATAACTCCAGCCTCGACGTCCGAGTTATGCGACTTGTGTCGCCTGCCACCTCCTAAGAACCACCGGACACCGCCTTCCACGCCTGTCGCCCGACTCACTGAGCCGACGGCCCCTGCGATGGGCTTCACATAGCCTTCCACACATTCGGCGCCCGACCTGAATACGGGCGAATAGTTCTTGGAGTTGTTATAAATAGATGTCGTACTTTCGATAGTTGTCGCGATCAAGGGGTGAGAGGTGGTGAGTAAAGAGAGTAAGGGCTCATGTCTGAATCCATTGGACTGAGATCGCGGTGATGGAGGTAAAGGGCTACTTTTATTTGGTGGAGAAGAGACAAAATCTAGATAGAGAAGATGGTGATCAGTCAATCTGCCATTCCCCGCGCAGAAGTGTCGCTATCGCATAGCTACAATGAGGGAGAAGGCGGGCGGGCGCATTCAATTGTTTGATCGCTTGATGTTCCAGTCTCGACTCACCTGCTCTCAAATCTCCCAAGGCTTCGGCAGCCATTCGCACATCGGGGTCGTCCAAGCTGACGCTACTGGCCCGGCCATCAAGGAAGCGGTCGGGGGATGCAGCGCTCGCCCCGCTGTTACTACTCGCATCTAAATCCATCCTCATGGCTGATTCACCGTTCTGCA